GGTGGCCTGCCGCAGCGTACACGGAACGAGGCAGGTGCTTACCTTCGAAGAAGCTTCTCCATCTAGCCCTGCCAATTACGCGTGCCTCTTTCTGCCTCTCCCACTCTCCCCTGTCTCTTCCTCGTCTCCCTTCGTTCGTCTCTTTGCAATTTTTTCACCGATACCCGCTGAATAATCAAGTACAATTAAATAGTCCGAATTATGGTTTCGAAGCGGTCGAATATGTTCTAATAATCTATTGAAGTTTTGAGGATTAGTTGTTTGCCTCAATAATTACTTGGTGTTGCAAAGAAAAGTTTGATGATGTTTATCTTATACGAAGTTCATGGATCATTGTAATGAAACTTGTACTCTTTGATATTACATCATACATCGCGAAGATACACATAGGAGACATCTACGTCTATAATTTCTTGAGAAAAAGCGTACACTTTAATGTATCATTTCTACGCTTCAGTGAATTATCTTGGATAACCCATGGCAATTCTCGACAAAAGGGAAAGCAATTGTTTTCGGGAAACGAGAAGAAAGAGAAATAATGATCCATGTCTGAACTACATTTTTTATCGTAGTATCTGTTCTCTGTCTCTCTACGACAACGGTCGAAGAAGAGATTTGACATAAGTGATGGTACCTTGGAAGTTCGTCGTCCCCATCTTCATTTTTTTCTCGCCCTCTTGCGACGCGAGATCCTTTAACCACGGGCAAAATCGAGGCACGTGCACCAAGTTGCACACGGCCAATCTCTTTCTTCTCTCCATCCAACCGGGGAGAAAAAAAATATTACAGCAGCGTGCTCGCGCGCTCCTGATCATCGCCTGCTCGCGAAAACTTGCTGCCCCGTTGAATTATAGACTATCCACGCGGGCTTTATAGGTTAATAATAGAGACGTGAATATCGATGAACATATAATAACGACTCGTGAGTACTTATTTTAAAGTACAAGTATAAATCAGCCAGTTCTTACAATTATATAGTTAATAGCCAGCAGCCACGTAAGAAGATATAAAGCATTCTACAGAGTGACACAAAAGTAACGCAATACAATGTCTTAAATACCTGAAAATGATTTGCTATGAAACACGTAGCTTATATTTATATATCTTAATTTGTATGTTTTCAGTAAGTCCTCTTGTACATCATTTTTATATATAATTCCAATTGAAGTAAGTAAGTAGAAGTTTCTAAGCTGCAACTTTGAATCGTTTCAGATCCAGCGGGCAATTTTATGCTCTGTTCAAGACGTACGTACTCGAAAAACAGCACGTATAGTAGGAAGGCTTCTCAAGGATTCAGCTAGATATCAAAGAGATTCACAGGAAGAACATGGTTATTTATATTGCATGTTAGCATATGAAGATTACGCAGAAATGTATGTATATGCGTTACTAATCAACCACGATCGACTTATCTCAGGTAGGTTATCGAGAACGCCCTATATACCTTCTCACATTTCTGTTGCCTACTTTAAACAATTGAAATCTTAGTAAAGATTCTAAGAAACGGATGTGTTTGTTATTTACTTAAAAGGTGTATGACTGTGGTACCGTTGATTTCAGAGGGCCTTTAAAAATGGTTAAGACATCTTGAAGGGACGGGAAAGTTTCCGGGGCTCGACTACGCGGCCTTCTCGGATTCCATATCTAGCAGCTGCCCTCTTGGGGCACCGTATCTCCGATTTTTTCTACACCCTGCTGCTTTCGTGTGTGTATATAGATACTCGAAGGAAGTTTTTGCTTTGAAAAAAATATTGCGTTCAACCCTTTTCACTCAAAGTGTCAAAATTTATAGACTTCTGAACTACATATTATAGAAGTTGAAAAACTTATTAACTACATTTGTTTTAACTACCACATGATAATGATATCATAACAAGGATGCAAAGGGTTGGAAACTGTTTATTGGTCTTGTGAGTTTTTAAAGCAATCACTCACCCATACAGCATCGCAGCTCCGGCTATACCGCCTCCACATTGTGCGGCGATGTACAGAGCAGCTCGGAGGAAGGAGATTCGTCGACACAAAGCGAAAGATAGCGAGACTGCTGGATTCACGTGGCCACCTGCACGACAAACATTTTATTACGAGTTTTATTATAAATTTAGCATATATTTTTTTATACAAGGTAAACGGAACTTATATTTTATATGTTCTATATATATCAAAACAGAAATTATACAAAATAATATATCTATATCAAAATTGTTAATAATAAAAATTTATATAAGACTTAAATTAAAATCGAAGCGTATTCTTGGAAGGGACACGAATATGTTTTATTTAGATGACAAAACGGACAATAATCAAAAGAGACTACAGAAGAATTCCAAGATGTAAGCCTGATATACTATATTATATGCCATCTAGGGCACTCTCCTGTACACGTTCTGCTGCACGCGTGGTGCGCTGTGTTTCTATCGGCCACTATAATCGGTTAATGAGTCAATCGAGAATGAAACCATGAGGACCGAGTACAAATGACGTGACAGTGTGGATGACAAAAGTTTCTGCCTCCGGTATAATATCGCCCATATCCCGAAAATTGATTTACAGATGAAAAAGATGTTAAAGTAACAAATTTATTGGATATATTATTTTGAAAATGTGGTACTATCAAAATTTAATATACAAATGACTAGAAATGTACAAAAAATTACAGGTAATCTTCGAAAATGTATGAATATCATATAGCGCAAAAGACTTACCACTGATATGACCAAAGATGAAGCAGATTGCCGAAATTGCAAAACCGGATGCTACAGCGGTAGCTAAGACAGAGAGTCCGCTTCCGGAAACTGCGGAGGATGCGGCTGCGCCGGATACAACGAGACTGAAGAGAAAGGTAGCGAAACACTCCACAGCTACTGCTCTCCAGAGTTCCAAACTGCGAGCCTCTATCGACATAGGCGCTTTCTTTTCTGTTAGTTCCATGTTATTTTCCTTCAGGGAAGAAATCCTCGTAAGCAAGGTCACGATGTGACCGTCTAACTCTCTTGAAAACGTTTCCGTGGTCATTTTCCCTACTTAATATTTATTAAATTTTGCAAATAAGCAATGTAAAATAATGTATGGTAGTTTTTTGAGTTCTTTTTAAAGCATTCTTCCTACTTTATCACTTTTAGGATGCACCTATATGTACGAAGTCACTTATTCCACACTTTCACGTGATGTCGAGTGCTCAATACGATTTGAATGGGGTTCGCGGGAAAATTACGAAGTACCGATACAATGGAAGAGCACGAGGATCAAACGAGGGACAACAGCGAAGCCGATGTTGCCGGAATGGCAACGCGCTTTCGAGTGACAAGACGATCGGCGAACAAGTGGGCCCCAGACTGTGCGAGTGCCTCCACCATCGCACCGCCCCCACTCTTCGACCACCGCCAGTGCATCTGTGCCTGAACCCGAGGAAATCGAGAGGCAACCACGCGCAGCTTGTCCCGAAAAAGTACGAAATGATAGAGGGAGGGTGTTCAAGGTAGAATCGAAGTGTTAAGACAGGATGCGGTCAAGATAGTATTTGAAGAGTAATCGTAGTACTTCCAGAGGATTGGGTTCCGTTCAGGTTTCATATTTAACCCTCTAATACTATGCAACTGCACAGAACCCCGTTAACAATATGCTGGCGAAATTACATGAAATGGTTCAAAAACATAATTTTATTGGCATAACATAACAATAGAAAATTATTAGAAAACACGAAGAACAGAGTATTATCACCTAAGAAATAAAAATAAAAAATAGAGTGTTCCAATGTTCTATTCCAGCTTTTCTATTAGAAACATGTTACTTGATAAAAAGTAAATTATATTCCGTTCATAAAATGTAAATTTCTATTTTTCAGTGAAAGTTTTGTAAGGTATGTATTTGTTACGTTCGTATATTCCTGAAAGACGGGAGTATACTTTAATTGGAGCAATATTTAATTTTACAAGCATGAGTGAACTATTAACATGTACGTAGAACGACAATGAGCATTAAAAAGAATAATTACATTTACCAGGGAGAATGTCTTATTCCCACGAGTTCAAAGACTATTTTAATACCAAAGTTCCCACAAAAAGGGATGCATGCACGACGGGACGCAAACAACGATTATAATAACGTCCATTTAAATCAACTTTATACGGACGCCGGTTCAGGACGGACTGAATGTTGCGTCCAATAAATTTGCATTCACCGCAAACTCTTCAAACTTGAATATCTCGTAAAACATACCAAACTAAACAGCTTAAAATATCATAATCTCATATCTTTTAGTCAGAAAATATAGGATATCTCGTCATTTTGAACTTCAAGAATATACTTTCCTATGTCAAGAAATTATTTATGAAATATTTATGAAACAAAAACTCAAAATATATTTTATATAACAAACTTTTCTTACTTTGCAATTCGCGACTGACTTCTATTTCACGTTCACTTTTGTTCTCAGAAGTCGACCCCGTCGTGTCAAGCGTGACGATTCCAAGAGGATAGCCGAGAACGAACCAGCGTAATTAAGCCACGCCAGTTCTTTACTGAGACTGTACAAGCATGTAAGTAAAGTTGACCGGGGAATGGGTAATAAATCCAGCAATTGCCGTAAATTGGAGAACTCACGTGAAGGGGGTGACAAAGAGAGCGACAGATAAAAAGCTTTTACTTTGTCGCATCTCTGTCTATAGACGAAGCAATTGCTCCAGCGATGTATGTTCCTACTCTTACAAATACAAATCTTTATATTAATACTTTATTAATTATTATATTTGTCGGAGAGGGAAGAACAGCGGGACTTTCTGTCGAGAATACTGGGAAAAACCTCCCATCACCATAGTCAAGATTTTAATGTTTAAGCCATAAAAATAAGGAAAACATAATGTTTAAG